GTTAAAGACTTGATAAACTCCAGGAGAATAAAAGACGACAAAGAAAGAGATCCTCGAAGTATTTGAGGAATTCAAGGAATAGCTGTCAGAGATGGAGGCTCTAAAGAGCCAATTTAGATGGAAAGGGCTTTCCAAATTACCTGCAGCTGTCTTTACTAACACCAAGTATTTCTTTACTCTAAACATTCAGAGGAGAGGTATTAATCAATTAACTTTTATCTTAAAGATGTTTGAGGTGCCTTATGCCTTTTGAAAGGCAAATTAAGGGTGATTATTGACAAGACAGATATCTTATGTTTAAATCATATACTGGTGGGATAGGGAGCAATAGCTAATCACAGAACATGCACATGTTCTCTTTCCATCTATTCCCTGAAGTATTTACTGTGCCTGTCTCAGAGAAAATCTGGTACTGAAAAAAGCTATTTGTGTCACAGAACAGTGTGGAGCTCTTCAATTTCCCTTTAGCTTATCTTTTTCTTAGAGAGCCATCAAAAGACTGTACCTTCACCGTCCAGCTGCTCATTTCCTGTTCATGCATGCAGCAGCAAAAAGTCACATATGCCTTTTCAGAGAAGTGTATTTCTTCAAATAAAAGCAATTTATCTCAAGGTCTCCATATAACAGGGAGGGCATGATAAGGCAGAAAATTCACTGCTACTAATATCTTTCTGAGTAGGTCTTCAGTGTCTTACTGACTTGTCATTACTGATGGACTGACAAATATTCTCCATGTAAAAAGAAAATCGATCTGAATTGCCTGCTTATTTTCTTTGTTCATTGTTCTCTCTCATATGCAAAAATGAGATCAAACCCGTTTCTGAAACAGCTATACTTAGTTGCCCAGAATAGAAGAAGTTAGCCGAGGCAGTTAAAGCTAAGCCAAATTAGAGGAAAAAGAGGTTTTATGATGGAAAGTGCTGCAAGTACCTAAGCATAATTTTTTGATAAGATCGTGCCTGTGATAGCCCTCATTTTTTACCTGTTGCCCTCTTGAGCCTAAATCTAGCTTTGAATAGGGATTTTTTGTGTTTCTCCTTAAAAAAAAAAAAAAAAAAAAGCTTTTCTTTCAATTCATTTTCTTTCTTTTAGACTCCAGGTAGAAGACCCATTTGTAGATGGACAGAATGTCTCATAACCAAGCCTTCTTTTATGTTTTTATTCTGTGATACTACATCACACTGACATTAACACAAAGGACAAGTGCAAAATCTTTTAGCTGAGTGTCTCTTCAAAGTGCCGTTTAATAGCCTGGGAACTTATTTCCCTCCAACATAAGCTGGCAAAGGAGCCAGTGAAATGAAGCATCGACCCTTAAAGTTTATCAAGATAGGCCTTTGTAGAAAGGCAGTCATGCTTTCTTCTAGGACTGCATCAACTTTTTAAAAAAGTTGTGTGTGATGCAGGCATCCCACAAAGGCAGCAGATTGTTGTGTTTTGAAATGTCTGTGGTCACAAAAAACGCTAACTTGAAAGCAGCTCAACTGTTTCAGCTCTTGTTAATGGTTAAGTCCTATAGCTTGCTGCCTCCATAAGCTGCTTGTAACTTGAAATTTTCCTGATTTCGTGCTCAAGAGAAGTTTTCCTAGCTTTAAAGCAGCTAATCAATTTCAGGCATCTGTTTCATCATATTTGTTTACCTAATTAGTTAAGAAATTAGTGTATTGATTAATCAGAAGGCTTCTCAGATTTTAATTGCAGAATTCAGGGTCTGTGCACAATTGCAGACCTCCAGCAAAATCTAGGATAGAGAAAATTAAAAGCAATATGGAAAGAACATAGTTTTTAGTGTGCAGATTTTTTAGACAGTCTTCCCTTTCCCAGCATAATTGAAATATTACTTAAAGGACCCATAAAAGACAACATATTAAAATAAATTGAGTTGCATATAGGACTAATTCACACAGTGGGAAGCTGATTATAAGGAGTACAGTTTTATACATCTGACCTTGAAATGAATGAAACAATTTTTAATTTTGTCATTTCCCTTATAAATGTGGAATGCCTTTAACAATAATCTTGGCAGAGATGCAAGGGTCTAACATGAAAATCTGTTTACAAAATAAATTTATACCATTATTGAACTTAACATATGACAAAACAAAGGATTTTCTAATGCATGAAAACTAGTGAAATATTCAGCAATGTTAATTAAACTCACGTGTTGTAAAACCATCCAAAGATATAAGTCTCTCTGGAATATGTTTTTTTTATCAGAATTGTACTTGAAATTTCATATTGTGCTTTAATTCAATAAATACACCTCATAAAACCTTCACTCCAGCCCTTTAAAGCCCTGGTTACTTTTTACTGATCACTTCCGCTGCAGCTGGAACTATGGGTGCATTTAATCCCATTTTCCCGTGGGTTGCTGCTGGGAGGGGTGGCCACGCTGCCCCTGGCACCCCGTCCCTCCGTTCCCCTCGCTGGAGCACTTACATGGCCCACGGGCAAGTGGGACCTGTCTGGAGAGCTGACGGGAAGCTAACCCTTTTGGTGGTGCACGATGGACGTAGTTCAGAAAAATAAACTGTCATCCACCATGCACCACCTCTGCCATGAACTACGGAGGCACTTGAGCTGATGCTGTACCTTTCCGGGCAGCTTCCTTTCTGCATGTGTGGCTTTTATCTGTCCCCTTTTCATACTGAAAAACCTTCATCCCAAGTCAATTCCCTCTGCTGCTCTTCCTAGACTTTTCCTGCAGCACTTGGGAAGCTGCATCTGGGCCAAAATGGGCAGCAATTTCTTAATAAACTGTATGCACCAAGGTGATGTGTGTGAGCATATTAAACGTACGTTTTCTGGAGAAGGGTCATCTGCGCTTTAATATTTGAGTGATAACACCTCTAAACCTACATGTGAGACCTAACAAAATCGTAGTCAGAAAAAGGAAGTTTGGGAATCGTGTCTTCTAAATAATTCTGAAGACAGGCACTTCCCTGTAAATATAAACATATTTTTAAGAGGTGCTGTTTCAAGCAAGCAGGCAGCAAGGACATTCTTTGAAAATACTTGAAAACAAATTGAGACTTTTTTTTAACTCCTTTTCATCTATGATTCCTGAATCATTTACTTCAGGCTTTTCACAGAAAATAGTTATTTAATAGAATAAGATGTTACCTGATAAAATTGAATTAGACTGACTTTCTTCAAATGGAGAAAATTAGGCTTGAAAGTTAGGCTTTGTATGAAAAATAAACTTCAAATTAAGTCTTGAAAAATTCTCTGATGAAGTTTGGCAACCGTTTGATGAGCTAGGAACAGATTAATAAGAACTGATTTCAGGAGCTACATATATAATTGTGATACCTTGATCCAGCTTTAGGATTAATCAGCATCAGCATCTAAATTGTCACTTTGGTCTTCTAAGTAAAGATTACAATTTTCTGATAGAATGTATTTCTAATTTACCTGATAAATTGAAAGATGTCCTTTGAACAGGTTAGCATTAATCACTTGTAATGCTCATTTTCTTTGTTTCTTGTCATTTTGTCTCCTAGTCCTACCTGTTTGGTTGTTGTTGCTGTTTTATATGAATCCACTCCCAACCAGTTGTGTTAGTTTTTTCCATCTACATATCTCGAAAGGTTAAGGGGGAGAAATACTCTCATACTACAAAGAGTGACTCTACTCAAAGAAGCAGGAAATAAGGAGTGACTCTGCCCAGTGCAGGTGGTACCGACAGAAAGCAGCTGTGATTCTTGTCTATAACATGGGCATCAACCTTAGCTCAGAAACACTTCTGTTCTCCGGATGTCTGTGTGAGTAGTCTGTCAGCTGCCGCTAGTGGAGGAACACCTGCGCACACAACTGGCCACACTTAGCCTCCTCTGAAGTGCTTGCCATATTACCTGTTTTTTGCCATGTCTTTCCAAACTTCGTCTTCTGTGGCTGCCCAAGCCTTCCATTATATTTCTCTCTCCATCTCGTCATCTCCCCATGTCTTTTCCCGTCTCGTCTGAAACTCCGTATCGCCTCTCTGCACACCAGCTCTCAAACTTCTGTATCCCCTCTGTGTTGTTTTTCATCAGGTTTCTGTGATGGAGTTGGTTAGCTGCACAAGGATGAGGGCAAAAGTTGCCAGTGGAAAATGTCCCGTGAAACCTATCTTGCAGGCAAAAATAGTAATAAGCAGGGACAGCTTTCATACCATAGCGGTCATATGGATGATCACTTTCAGCCTATAGAGAGAGTAGGTCTGGGCTAGGAAGGCATCCCACTCTGGCATTGCGTGGTGGACAAGGGGGTGAGCAAGCCCCGGAGGTTTTATGTCTCTCCTTCTCCTTCACTTCTTCAGATTATCCCCTTGCAGACCAGCTCTGCTTCTGGTCTCCGGGTATGGCTCCCATGAGGGAGGTACTTCATCTGTTTTTTCAGCCCCTGGAAGGACAGTAGGCTTGCAGTGTTGGCCAAGGCATGACCAGGACATACCTACATAGCAGCTTTGAGCATACCTGGCTTGGAGCCACTTAGGCACACCTACGAACAGCAGTGTGGCCGTAGGCACAGAGTCTTAGCTTTCTCACGGAGGTGTATAGCTCACACTGCCTGCTGCGGATGCTCCCTGGAGGTTATGTAGAGAGGCAGAGGCTAGCAGCAGATTTGTCAGTGACACTTACAGTAAAATGCAGGACAGAAATTCTGTCCATAATGTAAGTATTGGTTCAAAAACAAGATTTGATGTCCCAGACTTCTTTCTGTTGGTAGGGATTGTGTATCATCTTAGTATATCTTTCTAACATGCTCTGTGTTTCCAATGGCTAGAAAGTCTGCCATGAAGAATTTAAGAAGACAATGCTGTGACGATGTGAAAATGTGTTGGTAGTAAAGTTGCAACATGGGCATAAATTTCTATGGGCAACTAAGTATTGGAAGATACTGTGGATAACTGTGCTTTTAGCACCTGAGGATGAGCAAGGTCAAAGCCTTTAAATCCTGACCATCTGTGTATTGGTGGATTATGTTGCTCACTTGAAAAAATGTTTGTATGACTGCAGGCATAACCCGTTGGGCTGGAGAGGTGGCAGCCACGGCAAACAACTCACACTGCACTGTAGGGATCGCCTTTAATGCCAAGATTGGAGGTATGTGAAACAGTCCCCCTGCATAAAATTTTAACTGAAGAGCAATTTGTACGTTCAGACCTTTCTAAACAAGAGGAAGAGCTCTGTATGAATAACAGTCCTAGCTTTGTTAACAAGTAAATCCCAGTCATAGTGTTAAAGACCAGTACTGAAGGAATTTGTCAGCAGTGCCTCTTCTGCAGCGCTCCCTGGGACAGCACCTTTCATTGCACACAGAAAAATAGAAAACAATACTTTTGATGAAAACATGAAACCCAGAGCGAGGACATTTGGGTTTTCACACAAATTCAGAGCTTTGACTGATGAGCTTTGATGAATCAGAAGTAAATGTACACAGC